CAGCAGCATGCACAGCATTTCTATGTTGCAAATTTTAATTTAGACAATTAATATAAAAGCAGACAACTGTATTTAAATAAAGTCACTGTAGTGTCTTGCTCAAGGCCATCTTGGAACAAGCCACGCATTTAGCAATGATGTGTTCATACAATGCAAACTTTATTGTTCTTAATATGCAATAAATATTTTAAATTATCAAAATAAATGAGCAGCTGCAAAAATCCAATATCGTGCATCCCTAATATACAGTATATATATCTGCATATACAGCATATATTTGAGTGGCTATTGAGCCACTCAAAATTACCGCAAGGGTAATTCCCTCACCACGACAGCCCTAATTGACACCAAACTTTGTGTGTCACAATGCACAGAACACACCACATATATTTGATAACAGCACCACTGGTCAAAAGCGGGTGTGCCTCACACGTCCTGAAAAGTGAAGCTGAGGGCTCTTTGATCGCCCCCTGGTCGCTGGCTGCAGTACAGGTCATAAACCCCGACCTCTCCATGTAAACGAATGGGACTTGAGTCAAAATAAAAAAATAAATTACACTTCCAATACAATTTTCCGAAAGATGGTTTTGGTCATTTAAGGTAATTATCACGCTGATATATGTTCAATTGTTCGTTTTTATGATAAGTTTGATTTTAGCTAGTAATTTGATACTATAAAAATGGGGAGTGTCGTTATGGTTGATTGGGTCTGCGGGAGTTTGGGCGTGAGTTTGATACCGCGGCTCCACCTCACGACACTACTGCGCAGACTCTGGCTCCAAACAAGTCTCTACTGCGCAGACTCTGGCTCCAAATGACGTCATTTACTCAAGATGGCAGCGGCCATACTGAGATGCTTTGGCTTAACTTTTCTATAGTGGAGGGAATAGGAGACACGTCGTCCATCTTTCTTTTTTTTTTTTTTACAGTCTATGTTTTTTACAGTCTATGGTCAAAAGTGATAAGCTAATAAATCATATTACTAGTGGTTGTTTTTATGCTTTTTCAGCCATTTTGACTAAAATAATCTTTAAATGGTTTAAATTACTCATTGCTAGAGTTGGTCTGATGCTCCATGCCATTCTTAGCTCCTCATTTTGCCTCTGTAGCTATATTTGTACATTCTTTTATAATTGTACTGTACAGTCTATAGCCTTATTTATTGTCTGTGGTTATATGTTTGTTTTCAAACACCTAATTTTATTGTATGTAGAATAATACAATGACAATAAAGGCTTTCAATTCAATTCAATTCAATTCAATTCAATGGCAAAAACAGAAAGCCCAAAAAGCAAACAAATTTTTCCTAAAGCAAATACAATCAGCAGACTATAAATGTTGTTGATAAAATCTAAAAAGTAAAAATAATATTAATAAAAAGGTACATTCAATCAATAATTACTCCTAGCAAAAGTAATACATTTCTGAAAGTAAAAATGAAAACCAATGAGATGGATCTCAAGTAGGCATGGGTATCACTACAAGGCTATAATGGTATTACTATTCTTATGACACTGCACATCAGTCCAGTTCTTTAATGTTATTCATTTTTGTTGTCGTTTGTTTGTTTTTCAATGAAAAAAAAAAAACCTGAATGGCTTTATGGTATATGCAAATACAAAGCATAAAACTTTATTTAGATTTCGTGAGCACTTTGTCATCTGTAATATATGTCGAGGATCTCATCCATCTGATGTTCATCATGTTCATCTTGTTGCTACTGTAATGTATATGATATATAACTTTTTAAAGGGGTCCTATTATGCTTTTTCACTTTTTCAACTTTAGTTAGTCTGTAATGTTGCTGTTTGAGCATAAAAAAGATCTGCAAAGTTCAAAGTCAAAAGAAGATTTTATTTAACAGAAATCACTTTTCAAAAACTACAACGACTGACTTGTTTGGACTACAACGCATATTTTCCGGGATTTGTGATATCACAAATATCGACGAATGGGACGAGACCTGGTTGAGCTGCACTAGAGAAGCCAACGAGTGTTATCACTATGTCGGAGATGCTAGCTTTCCCAAGGCAGACGAACTTAAGAGTGGTTACAATCATCCGGGTTTAAATAGCGCTCAAATTGATTTGATATTGACGCAATATTTACACTGAAGGTCACACCCCTATGGTAAGGGGCATAACATTTCCCGACCAGGCGCCGAGTGGTGCCAATTACAACACACACTGGCCCAGCTAACCAATCACAGCACACACTGGCCCAGCTAACCAATCACAACACATTTCGTCTATTCGAGCCGTTCATGCCAGACTGGGGAGAGAGGTGTTGTAATAATGTAAAATATGTGAAAAATAATGTGTTTTTCGAATAACCTAGTATGAGAGCCTGTTCTAGTACACCCCCAAAACAAAATCAAGACTTGTAAAAGAGCATAATAGGACCCCTTTAATATGCAGGGGTAATTCCCAACATTAAACAAATAACCATTTACATGCAGAACATTTGCGTTGTATGAATGTGCAGTGAGACTTCAGATATGCTGACTCGTTAGGAAATGTTTTCTCATTAAAATCGTTCACTATTCTATTAATTCAATAGAATGTATGGGAGCTCTAGGGAAAGCAATATGGCGGCGCGGTCCCAAAATTGAGGGGAGATGCGGGGGGATGGCATTGAAAAAATATGACAAAAAGCATCCCCTCTGTAAAACCACCATCCCCCCTAACCATCCCCTTTAGATAACAATGTTGTGTATTATGTAAAACATGTAGTGCAAATTAAATGCTAAAATTATCTAATGATAATTCACAAACTAAATAATGGCGATTGGCTAATCAGAACTCTGTACTGTAACAAGCTGCACACAAGCTGAAGCAAGTTTCTGTTATTTTCCACGCAAAATGTTTCAAGCGCAACTTTTTAAATTCTTTAAAAAGAAGACAACAGAAGTTATGATTTGTTCTTGATTAACGTTCAAATTTAAAGACATTACCCTGAAATAATGTTATTGTGCTGTATGTGTGACTGTGAGGGACTAAGAGACAATAGGAGAGCTGGCATTATCGAGACCTATGTCACTGACTTTGCAAAAAAGTATTGAGTCCAAAAGCATTCACTGTGCGATGAAGCCTATTAGAATGCAGTTAGAATGCCCTTATAACTCAAGCAATGAAAGAAAAAATACCCATGTATGAGTTTTTGTTTTTATATTCATTGCACAAGCAATGTACTTTTCTGAAAATTAGCACATGTGCGTGAGCACAAATGTGGCATTAATTTTATACAACAGTGCAGAGCAACACGGTGCTTCGCTGCTTGAATGAATCTGTTTTTGAATGAATCGAGTGAGCCAGTGATTCAACGGTCCATTCAGATGGACTCACTTGTTTAGTTTCTAATTGAATCAGCCGTTTTGAATGAATCGTTTGATTTGAATGATTCAAAAAATCATTTATTAAAACAGGGACTTGCTGCCATCTACTGGCGGTTTTATTGTCATCTTAATTTATCCATGACCGGTATAATAAACCAGATGCCAACACAAAAACACATTCAGCAAAATATTGTTTAATTATCAATATTGGCCAAAATCCCTCCATTTCAGGCCCCAGAAGAAAAAAAACATAATAAATAATAGTTTAAGGCAAATTTTTCATTAAATAAAAACCTTTTAACCCGTTTTACATACATTCTAAATCATAGACATCTTAAAGACATGTAATAAACGTCTATTTGATATCTCATATGAAACGTCCCATAGACGTATTGCAGATGAGCAAACACTTTAAAAAAATTTCAATCATGTCCAGATTGACAAAGACAGTGTAGACTAATGACGAGTTCTCAGAGTATACCAAGATTCAGCGGGAATGCTAGCGGGAAATGGACATTTTTAAAATTTTTGTACCGACTGGTACCAAAGTCAGTACTTTTGACAACACTCTGTCTATGTGCAGATATATTAGAGATTTTGCTGACAGACGCCTGCTTTCAAATGCTCCCGTGTGCTTCTGTGTAAGCGCTCGGTGAAGAGCGTGAATAATTCAACAGCTTTCTCAAAAATTGCCTACTGAACCTTTAAATCACCTTACTGCAGTTTTCCATTTAAAGCTCTTTTCACACAGATGACATGCGTAAGGAATTGCTTCAATGTGAATTATCATTTGACTATCAAATCCTTGTTTACACTTGTTGAAACACTTTCCACACTGAGAGCAAGTAAAATGCTTCCCCCCCCCCCCCCCCCCCCCCACCAAAAAAAAAAAACCCCCCCCTCGACATTCGCA